TACCTCCACGAAATCGCTAAAAAAAAAAAAAGAGCATAGCTTGATGAAAAAGACGCCAACCTTGCCTAAAACAAAATTTTATTGTCTAAATGCTTATGTTATTATTAAGAGGAAAGACCAAAGTTTTTTTTTTAATTATTTTTAAAAAATTTTCCTTCTTTTTAGAACATTCTAAATTTTGATTAAAAAAACCTTGTTTCTATTTGTATCAGCGGTACTAGTAAATAACAAACAATTTTTAGCACGTTTTTTTGGTATGACACACATTAATTTGAAAAATCGTGCAAAAATAGAAATAATTATCGGATGTTAATGAAACTTTCAGGAACTATTCACAGATGATCGAAATTATTATAAATATGTTTTTTTTTTTATGAAAGTAATGGTAGAAATATTTTTAAAAAATATTTATTACCCCACATAACTAATTTTATGAAAACGCTAGAAATTCGATCGCATCGGTTTTAGTGATTACAATAATTAAAAGCACAGGGCTTTGAGGAATGCAAATCATGTTTTTTTTTTGTTTTTAATTGGATACACAGTACCTGAAAATCAGCTCTGAATTGTAACATACAAAACTCAATAAAACAAATATATTATTTAATTTCAAATGCTTTTATTTGCTTTTAGTTGTTTTTATGAATATGGACAATATTTTCTGAAAGCAAAAAAAAATTTTTCGATGAAAAATGAATTTTTAATACAATTATTTGTTATTTCATTAATTATAATAGATTTTACATTTAAGTTGTTAAAATATTATAAAATTAGTTAAAAAGCCGCATCGGCTTTCATAAGGGTCCTTATGAGATAGATCTTTTTTAGCGCGTTGTAAATTGTATCATTTTGACTAATCAGAAGATCCCCAGTAATTAAGAAATGTAATTTTGTGCTTATAATCGAGCTGTAATTATAAAATATGGACGACCAACCAGAATATAATTAAGTTGCGTTATTTGTGTTAAGCATTGTTCTCCGCTGTTAAGGCCTTTACTTTTTGCGAAACACGTGTGGAGAAGTTAATTTGATTTTTCAATTTCAACTGAGAAGGGTACCTACAAGTATCAGTATCATCTTATGAAATTTATATGATCTTATTTTTATATTAATCTCAGTTACGACATTTTCCATAAATGAAATATCAAAATTAATAATAAAATGAATGCAAATACAAATAACAGTAGAATGTAATAAATGTACATAAAATTATAGTATTTTATGTACAATTCTGATAAAATTTCATAAGAAAGGTACCTATAAATTAATTAGATACCTTTCTTAAGAAATATGAAATTTAATGTCACTCTTAACAGTTTTATTTTAATTTCTTTACAAAATATTTCCCATAAAGCATCATAAACGTAAAGGTGAAAGCTAAGTACAAAAAAAAAAAAAAAAAAATAGACCGCTGAAAGTTTTCGTTAAAAATAACGGGGTAAATAATTTGTTCACGTAAATGTAAATTATTTCACTTTTCTCCTTCCGTAGAACAAATTAGCCTCATGGAATTCATAAATATATCATTCATCACATGTCAAGAGACGCGAAAGTTTATGACCTGCTTTGTTTTATTTTCAAATTAAATCTTTTTGGCACAAAAGCTAAGTTAAGTTTGGTTCAAAATATTTTAAATAAACATTATAATTTCTGATTTTCTTAAAATAAGTTTTGAAAAAATGATAATTGATATTTAAAAAAATTTCAAAGTCAGATTTCCATTTTTTTTTTAAATGGAAAAAAATGGTCAATTTTGCTGACTCAAAAAAAACTAGATTTTTAACGAAAATTTCGGACGTGCTAGGAACAATTAAAAAATGGAAAAAAATATCCCAAAAATACTTTGACCTTTCCTCTTAATAATAACAAACATTTAGACGATAAAATTTTGTTTTCGTCAAGTTTGGCGTCTTTTTCATCATGCTATGCTCTTTTTTTAGCGATCTCGTGGAGGTACCTATCTTTATTAAGAATCTAAAATGCACAGGACGCTATGTTTAATTCACACTGTTTAAAAAACAAAGATCCTCAAACACGTGCATGCACTAAAATATAACTCTTGAAATAATAGAGAATAATGTCGGATTAAAACTAAAATTCATGAAGTCTATTTCACTGTCTTTCTTCGCCTCCATTCCATTTTCGGTTAGAAGAGCCGGGGATTGGGCGAATAATTCATTTTGATTCTAGACTGAAAATCATAACGCTTGCACGTTTGTAGATTAGAGAAGGCAATGGTGTTTCCCCAAACAAGAAAATAAGAAAGAATATACAAAAAAAAAAAAAAAATATGTAAAGTATAATTAACAACCTATTTTATTGCCTAAGCAAAACTAAATATAAAACTACAAAAGGGGTGAATGGTGTTGCCTGTAAAGAGGTTCTTATAGTCCGTATGTGTGTATGGTAGTTCAATGAAAGATTGTAAGCGACTTACACTTGAGAAGGTGGTCCCTATCTCTCGGTAGAGTTAAAAGAAATGCTTGTTTGTAATCAAGTAATTTTACGACATTGTATGCTTGTACTATACTGTCTTCTATTCAATGGGGTTCGTTTGGGATCAAACGTATAGAGGACGATTGACTTTTTATCTGGAAGATATATAGAAGTTAATCCATATCGAAAATAAAAAAATGAAAGAAAATTACTGGATCATCAGGCGTACAAAAAAATGAAGACTCTCACACAGCACTAAATTAAACAGAAAGAATTTGTTTATTTACAATAGATGATGACAGTGGAAAGGAAGAAAAGCTTGCTTACTTTTGAGCGTCTAATAAAAAATAAAGGTTGGCAGAGAAAATGTTTCATCTTTTCTGTTAATTCACCCCAAATATTGTAAAGTTACTCATCACAACTATCAATTCACCTATAAATCAAAGTTTTTGGGGTTTTTTCTTTATTAAATTTCTGGCACTTTATTGAAATTATAAATCAAAAACTTTTAGTTTGCCTCGCAACAACGCAAACCCTCAAAATGAAAAATTCTGAAAAATAAGTTATTCACATTTCCTAAGTGTGGATGATATTCGAAGTACTTACAAGGAATTTTTACAATTAAAAAAAAAAGAAAAGAAAAAGAATTTAGCTTGCTTATCGAAGTAAGCGCGAATGTAGACCCCACACCTAGAGATAGCGAACTGAGTCGCCCATATTTGGGGCGATCCAAAGGTCAGTCCAACCTGAGTGTGATGAAGAAGCCTCTCTCGGAGAGAATTTGATGTGAATTTTAGCAAATATATATATATATATATATATATATATATATATATATATATTTTTTAATCTGGGGTGAATTAATAATAAAAAAATCGAAACTGTTCAGTTAAAAAGAAGTTAAGAATTATTCTTAGTAAAGCGATACATCGAAAGTTCTTACCTTGTTAATGTTCTAACAAGCCAGGAATCAAGAGTAGAATGTCTAATGGAAAAATTATAGAAGCTACAAAGTTATCAGTCTGTATGCACCATTCAACTTCCGTATCATGTGTAAGGCTGAACCCTATTTCAATTTTTGAAGTGTATAGTTAGAGTTTACTAAATTCCTCTTTCGCAATGTCGAATTTCTGTGCCGATAGTTGTCGTGGTTTAGAAAATATAGGAGGGTTACTGTCTCGTTCGAATGGAAAATGTTTGGTTTTACTCCATCAGGGTTACGATGAGGTAAAATTATTTTTGGATATTTTGCCATTACTCCGCACTGCCGTTATCGTGGGCCAGTCTGATGTTCATAATCTCAAGAGTTGGTTTTGTGTTAAACTGCCTGTTATAATAGTTGTACTGATCAGTATTGTTTGTGCAGTCGGTCGTTTGACCAAAATGATTAAGAAATCATAACCTCGGAGATGTTTTTTTGGTATCTGTGATCACAAACGTGCAGTTGAACTTGCGTCTGAGATTGTGTGCTGCCTAATTTAATATAGCTTGTCCTGAGCAGTCAATATTCTGCTCGTTAAGAGACATAATGGAGATATTTAACTAGATAAATATATCTTAGCTCTATGGCATCTCCTGCGACAACGACAAAGTTAATATTTTCAGACCCTAGTCGAGCAACCACTTCAAAAAGCAGCGGAGAAGTAGAGTCTATCACATCCCGCCGAATTAGTTTTCTGACGACTCTGCAGGTGAAGGTAGCGGGAACTAGGTTGTATTAAAATACAAAAATACGTTTTTTTTATCGCCAGACCCTTGCACTATGGCTTGCAGAATTTTGCACGTTCGGCATCTTATAGCTTCTGGTCCTTGTTGAAAGGGCGAACACTGGGTCCACAATCGTTTGTTCTTGAAGAATCTGTAATTCTGCTACCACGGTGCAGACACGTGTTACTAGATCGGTTTGGGATGCTATCACTGATTTATACCGAACAATATCCTCACCAACTCTAATACAACTGGCGAGTGATATGAGTTCGTTTAGATATAATGAAGGACGTCCTGTCATGTTGGAAGATGGCATCAATTTGTCCAGAATCTCTGAATTAGATTTCTCATGGCAGTTTATTACGGATTCTTTTCATAGTCCTTTGTTTGGGACATAGCTGATTGCAATTTGGAAGAACGACTCCAGAATGTGATAAAATTTTTACTATGCTCCTTTAATGTCCGTAATGCAGAACACTGTTTTCATGATAGAAATACACGCTTTCACTTTGGATTCAATGAAAACAAATCGTTTGGTGGATGCAACCTCTACTGAACGGTGTTGGCTGGAGGACATCTTTTGAGTTTCACTGTCAAATATGGTGTCATTTTTGTTTTATATACGCGTCAGTTGCGTCGCAGATTACCACTTAAGGCGGGTTTATGATTGTTATCTGTTATGGATGGCTTGTTTATCTTATAGTAACGTCCGTTCACACCGTATATCGGTATTGTTGATTTGAGTGGGCAATGATCCAAAGAAAATGCACAGAGTGTTGATAAATACAAAATAAATCCTTATATAGCACAATATAATAATATAGAAGGATAAGGTGTAAGTTGAAGCTTCAAGCATTTCAATTGCAAATGTCCTGGTACATAAGAGAGGGAGAGAGATGGGTAGAGAAAGAGGGGGAGAGAGATGGGTAGAGAAAGAGGGGGAGAGAGATGGGTAGAGAAAGAGGGGAGGGTAGAGATGGGGAGAGAGAAAGGGGGGGAGAGAGATGGGTAGAGAAAGAGAGGGAGAGAGATGTGTACAGAGAGAGAGAGAGATGGGTAGAGAAAGAGAGGCATGAAGATGGGTAGAAAAAGAGAGGGAGAGAGATGGGTAGAAAAAGAGAGGGAGAGAGATGGGTAGAGAAAGAGAGGCATGAAGATGGGTAGAGAGAATGTCTGAGAGGAAATAAAAATATATGTATGCGTATGTATCCAAATGTAGTATCCACCACTTGACAATATGGTGAAGGAAGGTATATTTATTTTGAATCTAGGAAGGATGTTTGGCTGTCTAAGGTCACCAGATAGTCGTGCAAATGCTGTATTAAAAATTAGGAAAGTTGATCGCTGCATTGGAGAAAGGGAAAAATGTATTAATCGATTCTAGTTTAGGTTGATTTTCCATCTGTTTATATACAGATCTATACCGCTGCTTCGAAAAAAAACGCTGTTTCTCATTGTCTCGAGTGTGAAAATTCTGATTGCTTGGTCGTACCACTTATTTTTAGATATAGTGAAATTTTATGTCTACTATTATTAGTTTATTTCTTTTTTTTTTTTAGATCCTGATTGGTTGGTCGAACTATGTTTTTTTCTGGTGATTTTAATTATACATCTATTTTTAGAGATGGTGGAAGGTTTCTTTCTCATTGTTGTTATTATTATTTATTTATTTATTTATCGATCACCACAAATTATGGTAGCAGCGATGTGGCTTCGAGGAAGACATGGTCAGCGTTGCTTGAGGATAATTTCAGAAGAACAAATTGTCAGTTTTTAGTTTCGGTTATATTGCTCGAAATTTTTGGTTGGTTTTGTGATGCTTCGATGCTTAAAGTTTTTCGTCCGGAATTTGGATTGACTATGTACTATTGTCGGATTACAAATCTCTCCTCGCTCTCAGCTGAAAATCTCCACTGATGTGTTTGAATCCCAACATCTTTGCGACTATTCGTTGACGAGGCGTGAATGAAAAACGATTTTCAATGGCCTTTGATCTTGTATATATTGAGGTTGGCTTTCTCAGGAAACTATCTCTTCAAATTATTGCTGGTTTTGAATTTATTCCTCTGATTATTGAAAAATAATCCAAATGAAGAGTTTTCTATCCTAGTCCTTTTTTTCCAGAGCATTCATTTTTGTCTTAAGCCGGACAGAACGTCGCCATTACCAGGCTCAAAGTCAATGGTTATCAAAAAAGTCCCCATTCGTTCAGTCTTCGCTCTTATGTAGTGGCAAGGAGCATAGCGTTGCATTTTTTTTTTACATAACGTTTTTTAAGCATCTTATAGGAAAAGAAGAAGGGAATGTTTTGCAATCTTTATACATTTTGGCATAGTAATCTCGAGTTCGCTAGAAGTTCTAAAAGCTGTTACGCGCATAGTTAACCTTGACAGCAACAAATGGGATATGAAGGGGTTGTGATATTCGATAGTTCGCCAGCTTTACTTCACAGATTAGATCGGTCATGTAATGTATTCAGTCTTTACTGCTTCGCCATCTAATACAGATAGGTGCCAGACAAAATCTAGCTTACTAAATAACTACTGTTTATGCAAATGCCTCTTTGATTATGAATGAAGTGTATAATCTTTTCAAGTTATGTTGGTGTGACCCTGAAAATAGTCTACTAAAAAGTAAAAAAAAAAAAAATAGTTCGCGTGAGTTGCCAACATTTACCGTGCTTGCTAATGCAAAACAAAACCGGTGTTTCGGGAGAATTCCGTTCCCGATGAATAAAAAAACATCGGTCGCGTGAGAGACAATTTATTTTCATTGTTCGTCTCTTCTTCTTTCTCTATTTCTTTCTCTCTCTGACACAAGCCTCCCACACATACAGACATAATATCCCATTAGTAGCGCAATGGTTAGCACAACAGATTTGCAGTCGGTTACCGCTGCCGTGAGTTCGAACCTCACAAGATGAGTTACTATTGTAGCGTTATGTCAAACTAAAACTAATTAATGTAAGTACATTATTTACATTATTCGGACTATTGAACTCATCTTGTTGCCATATTTATCATAACTGAACCCTTTATTTCGCTCGCTGGAGTAGACTGTTCTAGTTCCCCGTGACATGTCTAATGGATGTCAGTTATCAGTTATCTCCTGTTAATTCCCCTCTCCAAGTTCTCCACCGCCTTAAACAGGTATTGAACGCACAACTTTTGGGGTCCTGTCATTGGATCTAACCAAAGCCTTTATCCGCTGTACCATGCGTCTTTTAGTCTACCCCAGCGAGCGAAATAAAGGGTTCACGTCGACATTCCAACCATCTGAGGAAGGCTGGAGCGTACAACGGCCAAAACGTGATAAATATGGCAACAAAGATGAGGACAATAGTCCGAATAGAGTAAATAGTGTACATAATACCTTATCTCAGAAATATAGACAGATACTGAAGAAGAACGGAGCGTACAACGGCCGAAACGTTGTGATAAATATGGCAACAAAGATGAGGACAATAGTCTGAATAATGTAAATAGTGTACATAATACCTCATCTCAGAAATATAGACAGATACCGAAGAAGGCCGGAGCGTACAATGGCCGAAACGTTGTGATAAATATGGCAACAAAGATGAGGACAATAGTCCGAATAATGTAAATAGTGTACATAATACCTCATCTCAGAAATATACTTATGTAAGTACTTAGATCATTTAACAATGAAGTAAGTCTCATTATTCTTGCGGCTTTGATTTTCATTTGACTGTGCATGATTTTAACCAATCGAACTCTATATGATGTAATAGCCGGCTACTTACTACTAATTCCTGTTGCAGACATCTGTGGCTTATACAGTAATGCAAGCAGACTTTAGTTACAATTTCTGGGAGAGAGCACGTAATCTGGAATGATCGACAATTTGAACAAGGGCAGTTCGCTCAAAACCTCAGTGATCATCGAGGGCTTCTGAATAGTTCCAGGGACTCAATTTGACTCACATGACTCGAATCAACCCAGAAGTATTTTCTTCAGATACTTTCAGAAGCCTCACGCTGGAATCCCCAAGCCGGTAATATCAAGAAGTCACCTGACAAATCGACCATGGTGATGTCCATAGTCAAAAAGCGAACGTTCTAAACACACACACACTCTCTCTCATTATATATATATATATATATATATATATATATATATAGATAGATAGATAGATAGATAGAGCGAGAGATAGAGAGATTCGGGGAAAACAAATATTCGTACACATACAAATTTTTAATTTATTGTATTTTTAACTAAGGAATAAACTTACTTTTCATATAATTAACTGTATACAGATGCATAATAAATAAATATGAATAAAAAACAAAAAAAAAGGTTGATTTAATAGAAATAAATCCTGTTTATCCATTTTAATGGGTGAAAAATATTTGTATAATGCAAATTTCAGATTTTAAAACATTTAAATTACTTTAATATTCTAAATTATTCTAGAGGAATATTCTAGAATGTTCCAATAATGTTATCAGTAGTTACTTTAGCCTAAAAATTGTAAACGGAACATTTTGTAATTGATATTCGTGCAATAAAGAGGTAAAGAATTGACAAATTCGCAAAAAGAACTGATTGTTAAGCTCTGGAAATAAGGTAGAAGTTACCGGAAAATCTCAGTAATTAATAAAATTGTGCTCAAAACATAGCTATTAAGTATATATTCATAAGTATTATACATATTATCCCTCACCGGTGGCAAGAATGGGAGTTTCATGCCTAACCCAATCTTCAATTGTGGGATAGAGACTGAGACTTATAGTATTTAAATTCTTATATAAAAAATATTTGATTAATGTTGGCTCAGTTCATACGGTGATTGCAGTTTTATTTAATATATATATATATATATATATATATATATATATATATATATATTTTATATATATATATATATATATATATATATATATATATATATATATATATTTGTTTCTTATTTTACTTTTTAAATATTTATAATTAAATGATATTTCTTGTAAAAAAATATTAGAAATATTTAAAAAAAAGTAAATAGAACTAATTAACAAAGAATTGCGTTGTTTTTTTTATTATTCGAAAGGCATAAATGAAAAAAATGCTGTTCAAATACATCCTATATATATAATATATATATATATATATATATATATATATATATATATATATATATGTCGCCGGAACCAGGGCCGATAACCAGACCAATATATATATATATATATATATATATATATATATATATATATATATATATATATATATATATGTATATATATATATATTGGTCTGGTTATCGGCCGAACTCCACCCGACAATGGAATCTCGACGAGGGGCAGAATTAGGGTATTCAAAACATTGTTACCTACGGGTGATATGTAGCTAAGATCTTGCACATGTTTGCCCATTTGCCATATTTTATCTTTATAATTTTTTTTTTTAATATATACACAATCGACATATGGGGAGGGTCTTTCATTTTTGTTTTTTGTTGTTGTTGATTGGATTGGTTTGCATTATTTAATTTTTCCGGCATATCAACCTCAATGGGTTATTTAAAGCCGGCAATATTTTTAAAATAGATTCGTATGAATAGAATATGTATTTTTTGTACGAAATCTGTTTGTAGATCAGGTTTCATTGACGTATTTTTGTAAAGAGGATTTTTTGTCGAGAGTCTGGTTTCATAAAGTGTATAGAGAAATTGATTTTCTTTAAATTCTCACTTGGTTTATAATTTTTTTTAGTATAGGCCCACTATTTTAATAAATAATATTATGTTATCTATTTTTAGTTGTTGATTGGATGGAAAAGAGTGAGTAAAATCGGTTTCATGTATGTGCGTGCATGTAGATATCTCAGTGATGAGATGAAAAGATCGTTACTTACCAATTCAAGCCAAGCGCATTGCCATATTCCTTATCAGATTGAAACAGTTACTACGTTGGCTTCCTTTTTTATGGAAGAGCGTAGATTGCTGATGAACCGGAAGTTATACGTGATTGGGCTATAAATTGCTAAGAGGTGCCGTAGTGTTCAAATTTTTATCTATTTTTATTTTGGAGATTTTTAAGCCTTTTATATCATAATAGGGTTTTCGAAGGTTACCTTTTGCATGTGGTACTTGTCGGTGTGAATGTCGGATTGAATGAATACGGAGGAGCTTTTGTGATGAACGGGTAAATCGTAATTCACGGAAGGGTC